CAGGGACAGGTGCAGTCACCTGCAGATGGGATACAGCATTCCTTCCTCAGATCTCACTTGTGACATCATGGAGGGTTCCCTGTGCCCAGGTGATGAAGGAAACCTGCACGCTTAGATAGGTCAGCTCAGTATGTTAGTGTGAATCCAAAGAGGGCCCTTCCTGCCCTCCAGCTTTGCATGGGGCCACGATGGCAGAAGACTGATGAGGGGCAGACTTTGGTCAGTATAACTGTCCTTCACTTTGCAAAGAGAAAAAGGTGACCTGCGGAGCCCCAAGGTTAGTGGCAGTGGCTTGACTGGCTGGACAGGGCTCTGAGCAGGGAGAGTCTGAGGGCAGGGACTGGAGGTCCTGGGACGGGTCACTGGAGGGAGGAGCTTTGAGTGTTGCAATTTTCTTTTCTTTCTTTTTAAAGACAGGGCCTCATGTAGCTCAGGCTGGCTTCAAACTTGCTATATGCAGTCAAAGATGACCTTACACTCCTGATCCGCCTGCCTCCTGAGTGCTGGGATACAGGCACATATCAACGTCCCTGTTCTTCCGTCCTCCCCACTGAACCTGTGCTAGAGAACACTTAGCTGCTGAGCTCTCCCTTCAGATAATGTTTTTAAATGTACATCAGTGTTTGCCTGCATGTATGTAAGTGCACCCAAGGAGGTCAGAAGAGGGCAGTGGCTCCCCTGGAACTGGAGTTACTGATGGTTGTTAGCTGCCATGTGGGTGCTGGGAACTGAACCTGGGTCCTCTGCAAGAGGCCTCTTAACCAACTGAGTCATCTCTCCAACCTCAAATTAAAAAAACAAAACAAAACATTTTTTAAATGATGTCTATGAAATTCTCAAAGAACCTATAAAATATTTTAAATTTATATTCAAAAGATAGCAAACATCAAAAATCCGCACACGGATGTTTGCAGCAGCTTTGTTTCGAATTTCCCAAGTTTGGAAACTGAGAGGTCTCTGAGGAGATGAATGAACAGGCACCTGGGGCCCATCCAGGCAGTGAGGTATCATTGCTGTCAAGTCATGACAAGACACAAGGGAAACTTAAATGCGCATTACTGAGGGACGGAAGCCAATCTGGACAGCTTCACACCGTGTGATTCTGCCCACTTAGTGTCCCAGAAAAGGAGAAACTGAGGAGAGAGTGCAGCCCTGTCTGTGGGGGATGAGGGGGCGGAGCAGGCGTGCTAGGCAAAGTGATGGGTATGGCCCTGTGATGCTGTGCGCTTGTTACTCTGTCAACCCCAGATACCAGGTCATAATGATTACATGCAAACCCACATACTATCATCTATCTGTGTGTGTGTGTGTGTGTGTGTGTGTGTGTGTGTGTGTGTGTGTTAGGGTTGCCACCCTTGTGTGTGTTTTCTGTTTCTGAGGCAGGATCTATCACTGTCCTGGGGCTCCTGAGTAGGCTAGTGAACCCAAGGGATCTGCCTGTCTTTCCCTCTCAAGTACTAGGACTATAGCATGTAACACTAGGCTTGGCTGAAAACATTTTTTATTGCTAGGTGTGGTGGCGCATGCCTTTAGTCCCAGTATCAGGAGGCAGAGGCAGGCAGATCTCTGCGCACTCAAGGCTAGCTTGGTCTACCTAGCAAGTTCCAGCTCAGCTGGGGCTATAGGGAGACCCTGTCTCAAAAGACCAAACAACAATTTTTTTATTACTTTTTAAAAATACTCTGAGTGTGTGCCATAGTGCACATGTGGAAGTGAGAGGGCTGGAAAGCTTTAGGAGTCAGTTTTCTTCTCCTACCATTGTGGTCCTGGGCATTGAGCTCAGGTTGTTACATATGGCAGCAAGCACTTTTATCCAATGAGCCATCTTTCCCTGGGATTTTTTTTACATGAGTCTAAGGATTGAACTTGGGTCCTCATGCTTGCGAGGCAAGCTCTTGCAGATGGAAATATCTCCCCAGTCCCCATCAGAGTGTCCAGCACTCTCTTTGTTCCAGTTTGGACCTCCTGACCTCATTCCTTGGAGGATGTTCAGTAATAAAAGAGATGCACAGTAAGTCAATCAGGCAAGAGGAGGAGGAGAACATTGAGGGCAGGATTAGATTTCCCAGCCCCAGGAGCTGAGAGCAGTCAGACAGCAACTGGGAGGATGTGGAAGGATTTGAAAGCAGGAAAACGAGAGAAAATGAAAACACTACCTTGAAATTGCAGAGGAAAGTGTTATCTATGTTTCCATTTCAATTTTTAGGTGGCCTTTTCATATAAAATTTGGATAAAAAAGTAATATAAAAGCATTTTTAAAACCTCCATAGTCCAAGCTCTTCCCAAAGCATCTGTCAGAGTCTGCAGGGCTAATAGCAGTCTTCCGTCCCTCCTCTGGGGCAGGAGTGTAGAACAGTGCATCTGTGCTTTTAGGGTTTTTTTAAAAAATCATTTTTCTTTTCATTTCATTTGGTACGATGTTTCATTCTTATTATCTATGAGAGAAAGTACTTAGATGGTTCATACTACAATAACCTTTTAAAATATTTTAATTGAAGAATTAGGGCAGCAGAAATTTTGCTGGCTTGGACTAGAGATGTAGTTTAGCGGTAGAGTACGTACCTCACATACATGAGGCCCCGGGTTCAATACCCAGAGTGTGTGTGCATGCGCGTGCACACACACACACACACACACACACACACACACAGGAAGACATTTCATTGGTTTTGTAAGCTACATCATGACACGAGGGAGGGAGGCATGAGAAAGGAGACTTTGAAGTTTGAGACTATTGGAGGGCCAATTCCCCCACACCATCTGAAACTCAGGTGTGGAGGACTCCATTGCAGGTAGAAAATGGGAAAATACATGCTTTGAATACCGATCAGACCATGCTTATTTGCCAAACACCCCTGACAGCTCATCATTTGTACTGAATTTCACTTCCAGAAGAGAGAGTTGAGGTACCTGTTTTGTGGATTAAGACAAAATTGCAAGGGTCCCAGAGCCCCTCCCAGTCTGCAGTTAGGAGGCTCCAGCAGGTAGGACAGCCATTGCAAGGTCGTCTGGGCTCAGCCCAGTGGCTGAGGGTGGGTGTAGTAAACAGAGAGCCCAGGTTTTAGCATCCATGTGGCTGTTAGAAATCTTTTTCTCCAAGGCTGATAGCAGTGGACTACTGTATACCCTAGGCTTGAGGTACAGGAGCAATATGTGCTCCTAGATCACACACTGAAGGCAGGCAGAAATGCTGGGTTGATGCTGCTGATTGCATCCTCTCAAAATTCAAATGTTGGGTGGGTGAGATGGTTTGTTGGGTAAAGCACTTACTGCACAAGTCTGACGACCTGAGTTCAATTCCTGGAACTCACATAAATGTGGAGAGAACCAAGTCCATAAAGTTGTTCTCTGCCATGGCATGTGTGCACTTGCACACATGCTGCTAAACACATACCTGCATGTATACATCAGACACACACAGACACAGACACAGACACAGACACACAGACACAAACACTCAGACACAGACACACTCAGACACAGACACAGACACACAGACACAGACACAGACACAGACACACTCAGACACAGACACAGACACACAAATACAGACACACTCAGACACAGACACAGACACACAAAAAACAAAGTTTTAAAAACTTGAATGTTGAAGTCCTGAGTCCCAACGTGAGGCTGAATTTGGAGATAATACCTTAAAGGAGGTGGCCAAAGTTAAAACAGGTCATAAGGGTGGATCATCACCTAATATTACTGCATCCCTCTTCTGTCTCTGTCTCTCTCTGTCTCTCTCTGTGTCTCTATCTCTCTCTGTGTCTCTGTCTCTGTCTCTCTCTCTGTCACAGAGAAAAGGCTGTGTTAGGTAATTACACGTACAGTGAGAAGTTCTGTCTAAAAGCCAGAAAGGAAACCTCCTCCAGGAACCAATATGGTGGCGCACTGACCTTGGACTGCCAGCCTCCGGAACTGTCAGAAAGAAATTTCTGTTTTTTTAAGACACCCGGACTATATAATCTGGTTATGGTAGCTGGACAGACTAACACCACAGGTTACACAATCAATACCATCTCCTCTTACAACACCCACAATATATTTGATGTGGAAGCTTCCTCTGAAATGTGGGGCCCAGGGCTGGAGAGGTGGCTCAGGGATTAAAAGCACTTGCTGTTCTTCCAGAGGACTGGGGTTCAATTCCAAGCACCCACATGGGGGCTCTGTTACCCTCTTCCTGCCTTTGTGGGCTCTCTAAAAAAATATATCAACAATCAAAACACTCATACAAATAAAAATAAATAAATAAAACATGGGGCCCATTCAACAAAAAGTAACTGAGGTTGGTCCAGTAAGCGTCCACCAGTTATCTTAAGTACCCTTAATAATGACAGAGCTATATTTATGACAGCACCATGTAGACACAAATAGTCCAAAACACCCTGAAATGGCATGTTTGGTTTTACACTTCTACATGGGAGATAATAAAAAGGATCCAGATAGACTCATTCTGGGGGAGAAATCCTTTATAGTGGAGAGTTACAGTAGATGCTGCTTAAGATTATTTCTACACTGAGTATGTATGCGTGGGTTACTCTTGATTTTCAGAGTAAATGCCAAGGGCCAGAGAGATGGCTTAGTCAGTAAAGTGCTTGCCACAGAAGCATGAAGTCTTACGTTTGGATCCCCAGGACCCATGTAAAAATCCAGGCATGGTGACATGCTCCTGTTCTCTCTTAGCACAGGGAAGGCAGAGACGGGGGCTCTCTGGAGCTTGCCTGCCAGCTAGTTTTGAGTTCCATGATCAGTCAAGGACACTGTCTCAAAAAGTAAGGTTGGGAGCTGGAGAGACGGCTCAGTAGTTAACACTACTGGCTGCTTTTGCAGAGGACCCAGGTTCATTGCTTCCTGGCTCACATGGCAGCTAACAACTGTCTGAAACGCCATCAGATCTGATGCCCCCTTCTGGTCTCCGAGGGCATTGCACTGCACAGGTGCACTTACATATATTCAGGCAAAACACTCGTCTGCATAAAAGAAAACAGAGGTGGCTATTTACCTGGCAGGGGCTACACTGTGATCACAAAGGTGGTTTCCCTAGATCATGATTTCTTCATTGGCTTCTGGATGTGCTGACCAGCAACGTCCTCCACTGTGGGAAACTTGATTGCATAATTTATGTTAGTGGGGGGCTGCGTTCACATTCTCCTCTGCATGTGGAAACAAACAAAAAATAAGGTGGAGAGCAATGAAGGAAGGCACTTGATGTTGTTCTCTGGCTGTCACATGCATTTGCACATGTGCACACACACAAACACAGGACACATATGAATGCCCCCCCAACTTCATGCACACAAATACTGAAGGGAGAAGAATGGAACAGGCCAGACTGGCAGGTGCACAGTTCTGGACATTAACACAAACCACTGTGCATGTTATTTCTGGTTATACCGTCTCTTCCATGCAAATCAAGGCCATGTAAATCAGAGCCATGCAAATCTGAGCTGTCCAGGTGATCAGTGTTCTGCAAGGCTGTAGTTAGCTCTGTGTTCTCAGGGTTACAGTATGCACCCCGCTACAGGGAGACCCTGTCTCAAAAAGACTCCCCCACAATATGCTCAAAAAAGGTGATTAAGCATCAACAAAGACAGTCTGTATATTTGTGTTTTATTCAGGAAATAGGGAACATTAGTATAGGTAACTCCCAAGGAATTCCTAAAATTGTGTCAGTGAATAAGTTAAATACACAGATAAATCTTTGGTGAAATTATAAAATTGAAGCACAACGAACAAAAAGTATTCCAATTCTAGGAAAAAAATGTACTTGAAAAAGATCAGCACATTGACTTAATTCTTTTTCTTTAGATATTTTATAAAAGTCATTGGTGGTTGAGTTTTAAATTTCTTCCTTTATGATTTGAAATAACTTTGATATTCATATCCTGCTTTTTGAAAGGAACATCCATGTAAGGCTAACGATATGACAAAATCTCTTGTTCAGTATCAAAATTCAACAAGAATATTCAGTTCATAGCAGAATCTCTTATGTTTTATACCCTTTCCAAGTTTTTATAGACACCATCAAATATGAATAACGACTTAAGCTATCATTAGCAACTGTATTGTTAATTATCTTTTATTTTTAAAAAATATTTAATTTATTATTTTTATTTTATGTGTATGAGGCATTGCCTGCATGTATGTAAGTGCACCTGTGTCGTGCAATGCCAGTGGAGGTCAGAAAAGGGTGTCAGATCCCTGGAACTGGATTTATGGATGGTTGTTAGCTGCCATGTGGGTGTTGGGAATCGAACCTGGGTCCTCTGCAAGAGCAGCCAGTGCTCTTAACTGCTGAGCCATCTCTCCAGTCTCTGTTCTTTATTTCTGAAAGACAATTTTGCCAAGAGAATTTAGGACTGACGGGCTGTTTGTTCCTGGACTGTGCCATCCGCTGCTCATGGCCACCAATGTTTCAGAGAAGAAATCAGCTGTTAACTGTGTTGAGGCATTCTGGTATAAGACACATCTCTTTTCCTGCTTTCAAAATCCTTTTGCTTTGGTGTTTGGTACTTTGATTATAATGTATTTAGGCAAGGATCTCACTGGGTTTATACTAACTGGAATTTGTTGAGTTGTGTATGTGTAGATTAATACTGGTCATCAGTTTTGGCAATTTCCAGACATTATTTCTTCGGACTTCTTGCCTGCCTCTCTCTGGTTCTCCTGGATGCACATATGGGCACACCTGGTAGAGCCCGCAGGTTTCTGGTAGAGCTCAGTTAATGTTTGTTTCCCTTTCTGTTTCCTCCACTGTATAATCTCAGCTGAACTTCAAGTGTGCTGATCTCTTCTGTCTGTCAGAGTCTGCTGACAAACTTCTAGAATACATAAAACAAAACAACAAAACAAAACCTCCATTACCGAATTCTTCAACTCTGGAATTTTTATTCTTTTTTTTTTCTTTATGTGTCTGTCTCTTTCTTGATGTTCTTTCTGAGATGGGACAGGATTGTCAAACTTTGCTTTAGTTCTTCAGACATGAACACCAGCTTCTTTGAATATATTTGAAATAGTAGCTTAAATCAGGATGATGATCATGCCTATAATCCCAACACTTGAGATATAGAGGGAGAAGGATCATGAATTCAAGGCCAGTCTGGGCTACATAGTGAGACATAATCTCAAAAAGTCAGTAAAAAGGTGAATTAAACTTCTGGGCATGGAGCTGGCAGGATGACTCAGCAGGTAAAGGTGCTTGCTGCCAAGCCTGATGCCCTAAGTCCGATCCCTAGAACCCTAGGGATCCTTCCCTAGAAGGAGAGAACTGACTCTTGCAATTGTCCTGTGATATCTCATACAGAGCATGACATGTGCATGCGTGAACATACACTCATAAAATAATTGTGGCACACTAACTGGACTTAGTGAGTTATAAAAAATAGATATGAAGTTAGGAGGTAGATGTGTTGGGGGTATATGGGGAGAGGTGGAGGTGGGAAATTGAGGTAGATATGATCATGTTTCATTTTCTTCATGTGTGAAATTCTCAAGGATAAAGAAAAATAAAAATACTACTTTGTCCAATATGTCCAAAATCTGGACTTCCTTAAGAACAAATTCTACTGAGCGTCTCCCTCATGTATGAATTAAACTTTATTATTATTTTGTTTTCGTTTGCTTTTTTGAGATGGGGTCTCCTTGTAGCCCCAGCTGGTCTGGAACATAGACCAAGTTGGCTTTAATCTCACAGAGATCTGCCTGCCTCTGCCCCCCAGTGCTGGGATTAAAGGTGTGCGTCACCACGCCTGGATGTTCTGGGTGTTTTTGAAACAGGGTTTCACTATATAGCCCAGACTGGTCTTGAACTCATAATCCGTGTCTCAGCCTTCCAAGTGCTCCGTTTACAGGTGTGTCCCATTACTTGTGGCTTTCTGGCTAACCTCTTGATAGTACTGCCACGTGCAGATGACTGCTAAACTAGCATCTCCAGTTGTCAGCAGAAGGGCTGGGGAAGGGTCATTCTACTGAGCCAGGGCTATGAGATCATAGAGAAATAAATCCCCTGATGAGAGTCACAGGACACCAGCGTGCAAATCGAACAATCACAGTTCTCCCAGAATGGGGAGTTTGGGAGGCTTCAAACTCGTTCTTCCTCTCCAGTGGCTGCTATGCTGTTTTTATTTAGCAGAGGCTGTTGGTTTTCATGGTTACTGTACAGTTGGAGTGAGGAGCTTAGGAATAAGCCCACTTACTATGACGTAATACCAAAATGAAGCTGTTTGCTCTTGAACAAATGTGTTTCAGTTGTTGCAAGTCTCCCAGAGTCCTGAACAGGATGGTTTTGACAATTTTGTGAGCATCTTTGATACTGTGATTGCGTAGCAGACATTGGGAGGTCCTTACTGTACTGTGTCTGGTAGTGTCCCCAGCACAGTGGTGAGGTCATCCGTGATGTACGATGTAGCGTGCATCAGCAGCTCACCCATCGTCATTGCTGTGATCCCATTCTTTGGAGTCACATCTTGGCTATGCACTGGCCATTTGTTGGGGAAGATTGTTTCCCGTTTTCCAGTCTTAGGAATAATGTTCCCATAAACAGCTGTGTGCAAGTCTGTTTCCATTTTCCTTGAGTATGTTGGAGTATAAGGGAGGGGGCATATAGAAGTTTAATGCTTAACTCTTTGAGAGACTGACAGTCTATTCTCCCCAGTGGCTTTGCAGTTTTACACTCCCACCCATCTGTGCAAGAGCTCCCCTCTTTCCACGTCCCCCTCCACGTTCATTTCTGTCTTATCGCAGCCAGTGGAGTGGCTGTGAAGTGCATCCTGTGAAGTGGATTCTGGATCCTGTGAAGTGGATTCTGGATCCTGTGAAGTGGATTCTGGATCCTGTGAAGTGAATTCAGCTTTTCACAGTTGTGTGACTGTGACATTGGTCAGAACTTTCCACAAACTTTCATCTTCACGGCCTTCTTCCATCCCATAGCATCTGTGACAGTCGGAGGACTGACAGCAGGGGTGGAAAGTAGGGCGGGCATCAAAATGGGAAGGACTGGCACTAGCCATCCAATTTGCCCACTCACTGGGCAACATATACTTACTATATTAAATATATATATTAAGTATACTTAAATATACTTTAAAATATCTTATTTGTTTTTATTTTATTTGCCTGTATGTAAGTGCGCTATGTACATGCAGTGCCTGCAGAGGCCAGAAGAGGGAGACAGACCTCTTGGAACTGCACTTACAGATAGTTGTTAGCCATGGCGTAGATAGTTGTTAGCCATGGCGTAGGTGCTGGAAACTGAACCTGGGTCTTCTGCAAGAGCAGCCAGTGCTCTTAATTGTTGAGTCATCTCTCCAGTCCCCAAATACTATTTTTTTTGGTGCACAGAATATGTGCTAGATAGTTTCTAATTACTATGGATGTAAATTAATTAAAACATTTTGTATACATATGTACACACACACACACACACACACACACACACACACACACCATTTTCGGTATTGTGATTGAGCCCAGGACCTTATGCATGCTAGGAAAGCACTCTACCACTGAGCTACATTTACAGCCTCTTTAAAAATTTAAGACAAGGTTTCAGTTAAGATGCTTAAGATGGCCTTGAAATTGTGATCCTCCTGCCTCAGCCTCCCAGAGAACTCACATTACAAGTGTGTGCCACCATGCCTGGCTAGTAATTCTTATCTTTATAAAAAAATATATTTTAGTCAAGAGAGGTATCTGATAATTAGAAACAATATGTGGAATATAATGTTAGTTGAAGAAAAATCTTATAGAAATATTGAAGTAGGGAAGAGGGTGGGAGATGCCGGTGACAGAGACCAGATGAGGGTCTGCAAGTTAAACAACAGCAATCATAGGCCTCACCCGCCGAGGTAAGCTCATGGGTGAGCTTTGTTTGAACAAAGGAAATGAAGAAAGTTGTTAAAGGAGGGTGGTGAGTTGTTCTTAGCGCTGCTGTGGGTGGAGACAGAATAGGGCTGCAGCAGACAGATGCAGCCAAGTCGGTAACACAGGGGCAAGCTTAGTTTACAGGGAGACAGTAAAGAGAACTTGGAGGGGGACAGAGTCACAGCAAGGCATGTGGGTGCTTTGAATGAGAAAAATCCCCATAGGCTCAGGAATTTGGAGACCTGGTCCCCCAGCTAGTGGAGCTGTTTAGGGAGGTTCTGGGGTGTGCAGCC